CATGTTAAACCGTGTGTGTGTGTGTGTGTGTGTGTGTGTGTGTGTGTGTGTGTGTGTGTGTGTGTTTTTACAGCATGGTATGAGGTCTTGAAGCTCTCTCTGGGGAGGATAAGGGTTAACGTGGTTAACTGGAGCTGCTGGTGGTATTTAGTCATGTCCTCCTCTCTCCCCGGCCATTTTTTCTCTCCTGTGTTTCATCCATCACTCACTTACTTTATTGCTCTTCTTCTTCTTCGTCTCTCTCACCTTCTTGCTTTTTGACTCCCTCCCTCTCTCTGTGTTTCCGCTCATGCCCACAGGGCCCCGGCTCTCTCACTCTGTCACCGTGTGCAGCGTCCCTGCAATAGAGATATAAATGGGCTGTGAGCAGGGGGCCCTGACTCCTATACCATAAATCTACGCTAACAGCACAACAAGCACATAAGGAGAGCAGGGGACAAGGAGGGGAAGGAGACAGCCGAAGGGGGGAAGGGCGGGGGGTCACATTGCTAACACATTTTTAACACATTTGAACACATTTTTGAAGATTATACTGAAAGAAGAAAATCACCCTGAGATGTTTCAGGAGTGGATTATTGCAGGATCGGGATTTCACACCCTCGGAGGTGCAAATTGTTTCACTTTGTAATGAAATGGGTTTTGAGGGCAGGAAGTTGCCTTCGTTTAAAACTGTTTATAAGCTGCTGGAAGCCTTATGAACCCTAATTTCAGAGAGTCTCCTTGGTGAGATGTTTACTTAAAATACAAATTGAAGTAAAGGTTTGTCCTTTTGACTCCAGTTTCGCGTTTACAAGGAACCAGATTCTACTAAAAAACTGTCTAAAAACTAGATAAATAAATGAATCCCCATATAGAAAGCCTCTCAGACTTTTTTTTTGTCATTGTGGAGACCTTTCCCCCCGTGAGGACGTTCTCCCTGTACTGTGTTATTTCTTGTTATTTGAGACCGAGGTTATTTTCTCAAAAATTTTACTCATTAACTGCCTATTATCTTATTATCTGCTTCTGGGTTTTCATCTCGCCGTCTCCTCGCTGTCTCACGGCTGCCCTAAAATGTCTTGTAATTGCGGTGACATTGAACCAGCAGCACTTCCTGTTTCCTCGACAGATATATTTTGATCTCCTTCAGAAACGTTTCCACCTTTCAGTGTCTTTCAAACTCTTTCACTCGTCTCTAAAACGAAGCCTATTTTTAGTCCTTGGTGCTAAGTCGCTCCTCTCTTTGCTCCTTTTCTCCCCAGCAGCCCTATGCTCCACCCCCTCATCCCATGGCTCCTCCCAGCCCCAGCACCAACAGCTGCAGCCAGGGAGGGGCGGAGCAGCTGAGTAAGACCAACCTGTATATTCGAGGCCTGCCACCTGGGACCACCGACCAGGATCTCATCAAACTCTGCCAACCGTGAGTATACTGGGAACCATTACAGTTAAACGCGGTGGTTACACTGGCCCCTGTTCACGCCCGCGTCACGGGCGATTTGATCACAAGTGGATGGCTCGAGCTACGTCAGTTCACACCTGGCGTTAGAATGCATCTTGTGCCTCAAGAGCTTGAGTGTGACTTCCCTGCTCTGTGTGCAGAAAAGAACACGTGCATCATTTGTGTCTGCAGAGACCAGATGTGCTGCCGTTAGTGAGCGTATGAATGAATACGTACGTCCACTTACGTAGGAGACGTCAGTGGAGTAGGCGGCGCTTCAGTGTGACACCGAACACATTCACACTGCTAAAAAAAAGCCAAACCATGTTGGCACCTGATTCTCGTTTAGTTCAGACAAAAACGTGCATTTCTTTAATTTTAATTAGTTTTATTCTGTTTTTTTTGTCAACGAAAACATTTAAATCTTGTTTTTGAAGTGACATTCTGGTCTAATTTTTTCATATTTAATTTAATCTTTTCATCATCCGTACCTCCGTCACCATCTTTGTGTACGGTTACCATGGTTACCGGTGTTATTCTGGATGGACTCCCCCTCAGTGGACTCGAGAACTGTCTGATTTCTTCTGATTAAATAATAATAATGGCCGACTTAAGGCGATGTTACATCCACAGTGTTGGATTAGCATTAGCGTTTTATGAATGTTGACGGCTGCCTGCCTCAGTTTGGTCCATTAGTCTTTGAGATATCAGAATCAGAATCAGAATCCGATTTATTACCAGGTATAGTTCACACATTACGAGGAATTTGTTCTGGTGGGTTGGTGCAACAAAAACAACAATAAATATAGAGTAAAATAAAGTAAGTAACTAGAAACAGAAATAACTGTAATAGTGCAAACAGTCAGAGTTAAATTTAAATCAGAACCATAGACCAGTCGTGTTTTTTACAGGAGTATTGAGGGTGCTGATATGTTGTTATTTACATTTATAAAGATATAGAGGGGGAAGGGGAGGTCAGTGGGGGTCCTGGACGTCGTTCATGAGGCCGGTGGCAGATGGAAAGAAACTGTTTTTGTGGCGTGAGGTTCTGGTTCTGATGGAGCGAAGCCTCCTGCCAGAGGGGGGGTGTTTGAAAAAGTTTGTGTCGGGGGTGGGAGGGGTCGGCCACCGTCTGACCTCCACGCCTCAGAGTCCTGGAGGCGTGGAGGTCCTGGAGAGAAGGCAGATTGCAGCCAATCACCTTCTCGGCCGAGCGGCTGATACGCTGCATATGTTTTAGATGTGACCAAGCGATAGCATAGCTGAATGTGAGTGTCTTAATTCACAGCAGCACAAAACAGGTCAAACTGATAAATGGACTGAACAGCAGAAATGAAGGTTGAGAGCTGAAGTGTGTGATGCAGCTCACTGAGAAACGCTTTGGTTTTAGTTTCACTTTTGTCATGAAAACAGGTCATTAATAAATACTTTATGTTATAATTTTAATTTTAAAGATGCACATTAATGCCAGGTGTGAACAGGGCCGCGGTCACTCCTGCCAAAACCACAAATCTTAATTCAGTTGCATAATTGTTGGCTGTGCTTGACCATGATGTGCTTTTAATGACTCTGTGTGCTCAGTGAAACAAAGTGCACAGTGTGTATGTGTTTACATCCATACTCATTTTAACTCCGTGGTAAAGTAAGCTTTGTAGAGACGGCGATTTTGCTGTTTTTATTCATTACTATGAAGTCACATTTATCTGGAGCATGTATTGATGTCAGTTTAAACAGGAAAAGGCTGGAAACAGTATGAGCAGGTTAGAAAACGGTTTCATGGTTCTGCTGCATAAATACACCAAACAGGGAGATCATCTGGACAAGATTTCCTTTTCAATAACTAAACGAATAAAAAATGGAAACAGAAAGACCCGAGACATGTTGTGTAGAGCAGCAGTCCCCAACCACCGGGCTGCGGACCGGTACCAGGCCATGCAGAAAGAAAGAGAAAAAGTTGTATTGTTTTATTTTTATTTCCAGCACAGTCTACGGGGCGTTTTATTCTGAAAAATGACGAGCTCATCTTTCCGTCGCTTCTGTCTGTGCTGTTTACATGCTAACAGAACCGTCAGTCTAATCGCTGCTAAAAAATCAAACGTCTCCGGAGAGCTTCTTTGGAAAGACTCAAGAAAAAATAAACATATTTAGCAAGTAATTTTATTCGTTTGTGAAACTTTTTAACAGAAAAAACTATAATTTTTTGTTGTGTGCCATGACCGGTCCATAGAAAACTTTCTTCTGTGGTGTGAATAAGGTTGATGACCGCTGGTGTAGGACATGAACGGTGGCTGCAGCTCACAGACATCAAACCGTGACACGAACAGGAAGTCTAATACCGATCATTCTTTATTCAGCGAGCCCAAAACGGGCTAATTGTTCCTCTAGATATGTCGTTCATCTCTGTGCGATATGGAAGGTAAACAGCCCCCTCTATTATTTTTGTCACTGTGGTCGACAGGCATCGCTGGATGTACACAAACGATGCGATCAAACCAAAAAAGTTCACCTCTAAGAAGAAAATTACAGGCATGAGGGAAAAAAAAACAAAAACCGGTCCATGCACAAAACCCTGCACACCCCATTAAACTGCTACCAACCGAGTGTGTTTTAGGGACACACACAAAGGTGCTCATAAAGCTCTTCCAAATGTTCTCGATAGAGAAAAAACACACACACACACACACACACACACACACACACACACACACACCTGCCTGCCTGCACACAGCTCAATAAGGACTAATAAAGCCTAGATTGGACCACCTCCCCCAGGAATCACAGACCAAGACCTCATCAAGCTGTAACACACAGTCACACGGGCTTTCTCTTTCTCTGGGTCTCTGTCTCACACACACACACACACACACACACACACACACACACACACACACACAAGCAGCAGCTTTGTTCAGCTTCATTAAGCCCTTTTCACTTCTAAAATGGTGAAAAGGGGGTCAAGATCATTAATGGAGACAAGGCCAGCAGATTGAGAAATACAGGCCATGAGCAGCGAGTCTGTGTCTGCTTGCATAACCTTTTCTTGGCCATATTTCCAGAAATGTCCTGGTCAAACGTGGCCAATTATTCAATGATCCTCTGGAAACGGGAACATGCTGTCCAGTATTTTTGGTAATGCTCCCGGTAGCCATGTCATAAGTCATGCATTTATTCTTGAAACTGACCCATCAAGATTCCATTAGCCCGAGAGGCGGCCCGATAAGATTTGGAAAAGCACTCAGCGTTTTGACATCGGATATCTCTGGCTTAGCTCTCGCATTCAAGCCGGTTCTACGGCGTTGGACAGTTTCAATTTCATTTCTAATTCCATATGATCTTGAATATTTTGAGCACAACTATTCGGAAGGGCAAACCATGACGGAGCTTATGTAAAGCACCCCGACAGTGTGCATGTTTGTGAGTGTCTATTTGCATCCTAATATAAATATATATATATATATATTCCTTCTCCTGTGTGTTGCGGAGAGCCGCTGCCGGTCTGTGTGTTGCTGCTTGGATCTGCCGTGCTGTCCTCTAGTGGCTGTCCTCTCGTTAAACTGTTTCCTCAGCTCCTCTCTGCCTCTTTTCTTCTATCTTCCATCTTTCCCTCTGTGTGTATCGCCTGCCTGAGAGCCCCCAAGGTTGCCCGAGGTGTGCTGTGCCAGTGAAAATTCAATGCCACTGAAACTTTAATTAGCCAGACTGTGTTTCAGTGGCAGGCGGGTGGCAGCATTCTAGAAAAGGTCATGCGACTGTTCTGCAGTCTGCAGCACCCAGGGTCCCCCTCAGGTTTTCTCCCAGATGCCCGGTCCCCCCCTCCAGCACAAAGCGCCACCTCTCCTGGCCCCGTGCCCCCTCGGCTCTTCCAGGGAGACTCGGCGTCGGACATAAAGGCTCTCCAAACATGGCATTGTGTTTTTAGGAGAGGAGAACGTTGGCATGTTTGAGCCCCTTTAGCTGGCTTAGCTGCTCCTTCCTCATGGTCGGCCTCGCTGTGTTGTGTCCATGCACCGAACCCCGAGCGAGCGCTGGCACCGAGGAGAGTCAGAGTCGGTTCTCGGGCCCGGTTGGGTTTGTTGTGTCACACACAAGCAGCTCTTGCCGCCCTGGTTCACCACTATCTAAAAAGCAAACACGCTGCCGCCAAACTGATGCATTCTTGACTGCGGGCCATATCGTAGCTGCTGATTGGAGGCTGTTGAATATGCTCGAGGGATGCCAAAAGCATAAATGCCTTCTACTGCGGTTGTAACCCCGTCCTTGTGAACTCTAATATTTTATTGCCAAGACGCTGTCAAATCCAGATCCAGTAACCCTCATCAAGGCCTCGCAGCCTCCCAACATTCACAGCTCACAGCTTTAAAGGCGAAAAATGCTGAAGTTTGAATTTCTAGATTCACACAAATGCAAACAACTATTGTGGTCAGTGCTGCTTTTATATTTGCTGGTTTACTTATTACTGATTAAACAAACATCCCTAACGTTGAAGACAATACAAAAATGGTGCTACTTTATTGTGCAAAGAGCAGTTTTAGCTAGTTAGCTCATCAGACTCGCTCCATATGGTGGTGATGATGATCTGTAAATGCTGACTGTGCGTCTGCAGATGTTTGGATGTCATGTCATGCCCTGGACTGGTTCAAGCATCGCCATCCCGTTGCTCACTCCGGTCAAATTTCAGAAACAGAAACACGCCGCTAGCAGCAACCAAGTTTTTACGATTATTTGCGTTCCGAAGGCCAAGATTTCTTTGTGACCAGCCGCTTCCTTCAACCCTCCCTTTAGTCCCTGGGAGCAAAAGTAAACACTGAAGAATACCAAAGTTCTCACAGCGGTTGGAGCGACATGCCGAGAGCTGTTGAATGAGTAATTAAATGGATTCGGGTGGGTGCTTAATCTCTGTTTTATTCAGCTGGCTGGATGTCGGGTTCTCCGCAGCCGTCAGCCTGATATATGGATGTAGAGGAGAGGCCAAAGGAGTGGAG